CACACACACACACACACACACACACACACACAAAATAAATAAATAATAAATAAAGAACTAAGGCCCTGCATTTGATTTCCAGCAAAACACACACACACACACACACACACACACACACACACACACACACATAAATAAATAAATAAAAATAGGGCTGGGGAGTTAGCTCAGCGGTCTAAGTGACTGCCTAGCAAATGCAAGGGCTTGGATTTGATCCCGGTACCGCATATGCCGGCCCTGGAACCCTGTGTGCACCGCGCTGGCCCCGAAATCGAGCGTGGTGGCGCTCGCCTGTAATCTCAGCGCTGGGAAGACTGAGACAGGGGGATCACTATGAGTCCGAGCTGCGTAGCGAGACCCTGAACCAAATAAATAAATAAAAGTTTAAAAATATAACATAAAAATGTTAAAGTGGCTAGAGATGTAGCTCAGTGTTAAGATCTTGGACTCTATCATCCAGAGAGAGAGAGAGAGAGAGAGAGAGAGAGAGAGAGACAGACAGACAGACAGACAGACAGACAGACAGACAGACAGAAACACAAACAGACAAACAGACAGACAGGGCCAGGGAAGCAGTTCTGATCTCTATTCCTGGACTGGAGAGCTCACAGGTTCACTTGAACCTGCCCAGGCTGGACTGCGGACCATAGAGGAAGAGGCAGCCCCTGAGATCCACCGTACCATCTCTGGAGACCTGACTGCCGAGGAGGAGCTGGAGAGAGCTATGGTGGAAGCTGCTATGGAGGAGGGAATATTCCGGGTGAGTGAGGGCCACTAGTGCCCCTAGTGGCCCAGATGCGCTGAACAACAACAGAGAAGGACACTACCCCAGCACCCCTCTCCCTCCTAACCAAGGTATCAACATAATACACCCTTCTGTACCTTCGCACAAACCCCCGACCGCAGACCATCTCCCAGGAACCTAACATCCATCCATCCTTAGCTAAGTTGAGTGTTATTTTGTACTGCTTGAGTGATCAGGAGATCCTTCCTGATCAACTTTCTGAAGTGTTTTTGGTTATTCTTAAGAAAATAGAGACCCAGAAGAATAATGTGAGATACCCAGCATCACTGAGTTTCAGAGAGAACCCAAAGCCAACTCTGCAGACTTCCAATTCAGTGTTCTCTCCACTACCTGGTTTTCCCCTGTGTATTCATGTTTCCTATCCAGTTCCTGAATACATCCTGTCTGTACCACCAAACTGAGACCTTTCTGAAGGTGGGGATCCTCTTCTCTTTCTGATCTCAGCACTTGGATCATTCTTTTCTGGCCTTAGGATTTGTCTCCCCACCCTACCGCTTGTTCCAGCACCTTCCCGCAGGTTGACAGTGCAGTGCCTGCCCTAATTCCCAACAACAACTCTCAGTCTTCTCACTCTCTTCTTTGTCTCTAGAGGACCGGAGGCCTGTTTGGCCAAGTGGACAACTTCCTGGAAAGGACTAACTCCCTGCCCCCTATCATGGCCAACCAGAGACCCCTCCAGTTTACTGAAATAGAGATGGAGGAACTGGAGTCACCTGTCTTCTTAGAAGACTTCCCTCATGATCCAAGAACCAACCCTCTTGCTCATGCCAATGCCAACAATGCCAATGCCAATGTTGCTTATGGCAACAGCAACCATAGCAACAGTCAGGCATTTTCCAGGTAATGGCAGCAGCTACCAGCTCTGGGTGTATGAGTGCTAGAATAGGATGGAGACGAGGCTAAATTAGAAGGGAACACCCCGAAATTTATAAGTACCCTTTACTTGCCTTTGTGCTCTTGGGGATTATCCTGCATCTTAATGCAAGACAAGTTTGGACTGAAGAGACCCCATTGACCAGCAGGGGGCAGGGTCATGTCAGCTTCAGTCAGATGCTGAGTGGGTCTTTAATGCCATCCATAGTCAAAGCTGGTCTAGGAGCTGAGACCTTAGCCATTCGTAGATCCTCCAGGGAGGAAGCGCAAATCCTCAATAAAGCTAGATAATAAGGTTCATTTGTTGGATTGGGGTCCCAAGGAGATCTCACTGTGCTGAGTAGCTCCTATCTCCATATAGACTAGACTCTCTGGTTGCCTAAGTGATTTAAAAACAGCAGAATGGAGGTGCAGGGGAGTAGCTCAGTCATTGAAATCCAGGAGTGGGTCTCCAAGCAGAGCTTCTGTTCTAGACAAGAGGCCAGCTGAGTTGAGGTCTCTAGGCAGGACAGAGTGGGAGTCAGGTGAACAGATACCTCCAAGGCCAAGGCTGCCTGCACTCCCTTGCAGTCAGAGAGGCCTCCTGATTTCAGCCCACAGCTCTTGAAGGGTGCACAGGCTTTTGGGTCACAGGTGTGAAATCTCAGAAGTATCACATTTGGACCCTGCTGCTGGGAGATATGTTATATAATATGACTGGCCAAATAAATGCAGAGAGAACAAAGGGAGTATTGATCACCAAAGACTGGAAAGGTCTAGAACAATTCTTAGCTTCAGCTCTTTAAAGAAACATCTAGAAAAATTTTAAAAATCCCTATTCTCCCGTGGTGACTCTACACACAGCCAAGGCTGAGAACCACCATGCTAAAGTTATGAGGCTGCACTGAATAGAAAGAGTAGAGAAAGCACAGCAGGAGAGGAGGCAGGGGTGCACTGGGCTTACTGCCCAAGAGTCAGGGCTGGCTGGAAGCATCAGCCCTGGGTGAAGGTCACTGAATGATGATGGATGTTTGGAGCGTCAGAGGGTCAGGCATGGTGAAAGAGCCAGCAGACCGCTCTGGTTCACCCAGTCTTGTTTCCTTCTATTTCAGTGTCCACTATGAAAGGGAATTTCCAGAAGAGACAGAGACACCTACAGCCAGAGGAGGAGCCTTTGGCCAAGCCTGCAGGGCACTGGGTCAGTCCCTTCTGTGCCCCTGAGAAGCTGAGTCTTCCCCTAAAGAGGGCTATGGTGCCTCTCTCTTCCCATAGAGTCTGGGAACCCAGCTGGGAGGCCTGATTTTGAGAGCCTGTAACAGAAGGAACCAGTGAGCTCCAGAGAGGGAAGGCTGTCAGGGGCCCCTCCTCATCCAGGCATTGACGTGGGCCAGCTAGGAAGCTGAGTGAGCTATGCTCTAACAGGCCTTCGCCCTGTCCACACATGCCACCCCAGTATGGGAGTCTCCCCTTCTCTCAGTACCTTGGAAGGGCAGCCCTGGACACCCTGACACCTTGGCCTAGGTACCCTCCAGATGGTGATCTTTCAGTGTTCTAGTGGGTCCTGGACTACTGTGTGACAGTAAGAGCCTCAAGGATTGTGGGGTTCCATGGTGATAGAGGTAGCTCCTCTACCCCTCTGGTACACATGATTTCATGGTCACACATACACTGACACACTGAAGGACGGCTTGGCCCGAGACAGACTCTGAGCCCTGCTCTCAAACCCACAAGGACAGACAGTGGGACTAAAAGTTGGCACAATTCTGCCTGGTCTTGAGCCAGTTGGGTCCCAACATGCATTCACTTTCTAAGCTACCTTCTTCACCTCTCCAAGCAAGACTACATTGACATAGGAGTCCCAGAAGTCTCTCTTGCCCTTACACCCCCTTGCCCACAGGAGCCCAAAACAAACCTCATGTGGAAAAGTTGAGAGGACAGCAGGCCCAGAGGAGAACGCCTGGAAGCCAGATACTTCCCACCCCCTGCCAGGTAAGGGGATGGAAGCCTGGGAGAAAACTGCCAGAGACCCCACTTGGGTTGGTGCTGGGAGGGGCTGTGGCAGGGGGAGGGTCCAGTAGTAGTCTTCCCACCCAACACAGAAGAATCTGGGTTCCTGGGTCCTCTCTTTTCTCTGGGTCTTGGATGAAGCTCCTTTGCATGAGCTAGGACTTCACTGGATTGTGGGATTTGGCATCCCTTTTGAGGTCTTAGCGTCTATGCATTTGGAACAGCACTCCAGGGTGGAGCCTTCTATGGGCCAGGAGAGGAGCTCCACGGCGGAGTCTCTGCAGGAGGAAGCTCACCATAGCAGGAGCTCCCGGGAAGGCACTGCCAGGTGCCAGGCTCCAGCTACCACCCTGCTGATTCAGGAGGTGAGGCAAGGCTGGGACAGAGCAGCAGGCTGCCTCGAGGGGCAGGCGAGGTAGCCTGGCACAGACAGAGGGCCGAGCCAGCAGGGGTACACCCCTGAAGGTGGCTCCCCAGAAAGGCCCCACCCAGCCTCTTCTCCCTGCAGGCTTTGGTTCGAGGGGGCCTGGGCTCCTTGGCAGCTGATGTTAACTTCGTCATGGCAACAGGCCAGGCCCTGGCAGATGCCTGCCAGATGGAACCAGAAGAAGTGGAAGTGGCAGCTACAGAGCTACTGAAAGAACGAGAGTCCCCAGAGGGTATGGCCAGTGCCCTGGTCGTTGGGTCCTCCCTTGAAAGCCTTGACCAGTATCAGGGCTCCCAGGAGACCCTCATTCCTCCCAAATTATGAGGACCTGCACAGAGGTCAGCCTGGCTCAGGGGACAGACCACCAGAGTGGAGAAGGGTCAGCTCAATAATGCCACCTCCCTCCTTTCAGCAGCCAGGTGCATGGGCTGCCTCAAAAAGTCAGGAGGAAGTGGGCAGGCAGCACAGCCCCCCCAGCAACTCCTAACACGAAGCATGATTGCATGGAGCTTCAGATGTCATTCTAAAAGCCCTGGTCAGTGCCAATATCTGTCACAGATCACTGCCACCAGAGGGACATTAAAGTCTCCAAGCCTGTGACATGAGCACCTGTCCTCTATTTGTCTCCTTTTAACCCTTCTAAACTCCCTCTTCTTCTCTGTTCCTGTCCTAGGAACCCTTGGGGACCCTGGGCCCAAGATAAGAACAGAGGAGCCAGGTGGACCCTCATCTGCACATGGCAGAGGGTGACCTGTGTAGATAGTGGGGTTCTCCTGGGAATCTGTGGCCAGGTCTGCTGACTGGGTTGAGTAGCCCCAGGAAGGACTGTGGCTTTAGAAGAAGCCCCACCTTCTTTGTAGTTATGACTGTGTCCCTTGGGCCAGAGTCCACTGCCAGCACAGTGCTCAGCTTGCTGTTTATGGCCCTGGTTGTCACAGACCTGCAGTCCATGGCTCATCTCACCCACAGATGCAATGATGAATCACATGGGGACTGTTTAGCAGGGCCTCCAGTGTGCCAGGACATACATGGCCTCGAGCCAGGGCCCTTTGGGTGCTCTCCTTACCACACTCATTTTATTCTCAAGACAGCCTGGTGATATAGGCCTAGAATCCTGCTCAAGATGAAGAGGTGGACAGGGAGAAATGTGGTAGGATGTGTGGCACACAGCTGGGACGAGACAGAGTCAGGACTATGCTGAACCTTGGAGTCCCTACGGTGCCCTTTCCCCCACGCTTGACTCTCCTCTTCTTGCCACACTCATTGTGTGTGTGCCAAGCACCTGCTCCATGGCATTGCTATGGCAACTAGGCTGGCCTTCTGTACTGCCTCCTGGCAAACCCCAGAGGGCTCTGGGCTTCTGGGGCTGCCCCAGAATGCAGCAGCACGTGGCAGGAACACTCACACTCTGGGCACTGGACATCGTGTATCTCCTTGTGCCTGGTCAATACAACTATTTAAACTCCCTTCTTTCTTCAAACCTTGTCCCTCCTTCACAGAGAAACAGAAGTCACCAGAAGGATCCTGTTTAACTCCTGTCACAACTTTAATGAATGCACCTCCTCCTTTCCTCCTGAGAAAGTGCAAGCTACAGTTCCTCCCACCAGGTCGTCATTCTACCCCAGCCACACTCCCCTTCCCTGGCTCTTCTGTCTGCATGTAACATATCCTTGGTGCTTCCAGATCAACATGATCCTGAAGCCATCCTGTCAGTTTGTTTGTCCATCTATCACCTATCCATTCATCTTATCAATCTAGCATCTATCTGTCTTTCTATATATCTGTCTTTCTATTATCAGTGTTCATCTGTTACCTATCATTTGTCCATCTATCATTCATCATCCACTCATTCATCCATCTACCAATCTATCCATCCACCTATCCATCCACCCATCCATCCATCTATCCATCCATCCATCCATCCACCCATCCATCCACCCATCCATCCATCCATCCATCCATCCATCCATCCATCCATCCATCCATCCATCCACTCACCCATCCACTCACCCATCCATCCACCCATCCACCCATCCATCCACCCATCCACTCACCCATCCATCTACCCATCCACCCATCCATCCATCCATCCATCCATTCATCCACCCACCCACTCATCCATCCATTCATCCACCCACCCACCCATACATACATTCATCCATCCACCCACCCACCCATCCATCCATCCATCCATCCACCCACCCATCCATCCATCCACCCACCCACCCATCCATCCATTCATCCACCCAGCTATCCACCC